GTGTGTGTGTGTGTGTGTGTGTGTGTGTGTGTGTGTGTGTGTGTGTGTGTTACATTATCTCTCTCAATGATCCTCAGGACAGGGAGAGTCAGAAGTTACAATGGCTGACTCACTGTGTGGAGGAGGTCAATGAAGGGACCCAGTGGGTCATACCAGCTCTTAAACAAATGAGAGAAATATGTCTCCTTTATCTAGAGGTAAGGGATATCCATTGATCATTGATACTATTAATCCTTTCTCTTATAGTCTCCTGTGAATTACTCTTCAGTCCATCACCCGACCTCACGGTTTTATTATCGTAATGAGATCATTAGTCACTTGGACCAGAACTATCACCTCCTCTCACAGATCTGCTCCAACCTCAGCCAATACATGATGAAGATAAAGGAAATTAAAGAAAGTACATTAATAAATAATAATAACAAACATTAATTACATGTACATATTTATTCATTTATTTATTTATTGCATTGTTAGAGTCACCTGATATTGATCCTGATTCATACTGTATTGATGATCGGTTCAATCATTATCAGCAGTATCAGATCAGACTGGACTTCATCAGGTAATCATGTACAGTACACCATTCATTAATAATAATAATAATAATAATAATAATAATAATAATATTATTATTATTTATTATATTCTTCAGGTTTGCATTAAAAGATGGTCAGTTGTGGCTAGGGCTCAGTCAAGCACTAATGGTAATGTGTAGTTTGTGTACATTTCTAACTTAATAAAATATTCATAATACTGGTAGAAGGGGGATATTTTCCTACCTTTATTATTTAATTTTTAAATTGTTACATGTTTTTATTTACAATTTACATGTGAGCTACTATAACAAAAATTAACTGGTTTTTTAATTTTACCTTTTTCTTTTATCTTAAAATTAAAGTCACTTTAAGATACCATATAGCGGGAAAAGTTGGCGGCACTTTATTTTGGCGATTTTGCTGTAAATTTGTAATTGGCAGTTTTTAATTTGGTGATTTTTGTGTACACGTGCATTACTGAGCATGCGCATTTAATGATTGGCGGTTTTAATATTGGGGATTCACCTTGCAAACCACCAATCGCCAAAATAAAACTCTGCCAATTTTTCCCGCTATACGGTATTCTACTTTTCCATTTCAATGTACACGTACATTCTACATGTATTATTAGTAACGCGGTAGCGTTACTAAGTAGGATTCACCCCCAAACAAAATGGCTGCCACGACTTTTGCAGCCTTGCTATACCAGGAAAACGAGCTCCTATGCTTACCAGACTTCTTAGAGGACCTCATCTTGACCAGAGGACTCCATTGGTACCACTAGCGTGGCTCTAGACCTTGTCTAAGAGAAAATCCAAAAATCGGCGAACCGGCCGTTTTGTTCAGCCACCTTTTTTCATCTTCATCATCATCATCATCATCATCATCATAATCAAGTCAGAAGTCCTGTCAATCCAGTTGTCGGTGTGTATCTCAGTATTGGTTGGTGCTACAAGGATAATTCTTACATCAATCTACTCCAACAGTCTATGCGCAGGTCCATGTCCCATCAGATCATTCTTCAAGTGAGGAAAAAGTGATACTGTGACTGCT